ATAAACGGTTTACAGGCCGCATGGCGTGTCATTTCTGGATAGTATTTGTTTGTGTGTGTACTTTGACATTATTTTTTACCTTGTCAATAGTATTTATTCGTCGCTATGGCAACAAGAGGTTGTGTAAATGACCCAAACATATTCTGTTATATTTATGGTAAATTTGTTATAAAGAAACAAAGACAAAACATTACAGAATTCGTCAAAAAAGCGTGTTACGCGTATTTTGGAATAAATCTTAGGAACCAAGACAATTCATGGGCTCCGCACAAAGTTTGCACCATTTGTGTCAGAGAGCTAAGACAGTGGACTAAAGGTAAGAAAAAGTCTTTGTCTTTTGGAATTCCAACGGTCTGACATGAGTCTAGAAACCATGGAGATGACTGCTATTTTTGCTCATGTAACATGCAAGACTACAACACTCCAAATAAAAAATAAATTTATTATCCGAACTTTCAATCTGCTATAAGACTTGTTGCTGATCAACCTGATGTACCTGTACCTACTCCACTGGAGACTTTTGATACAGTTGTATCTGATTCTGTATCTGATGTAAATAGAAATGACGATAAATATTGTTTTCAATCTGAAACTTATTTTCACACAAAGTGAACTTAATGATTTGCTGGGAGATTTGGGCCTTCCAAAGGATTCTTCACAGGTTTTGGGGTCCAGACTTTGGGCTAAGAACTTACTTTCTCCAGGGACATCATTTTACTGGTACAGAAATCGTGATAAAGAGTTTATGCCATACTTTTCACAAGAAGGTTCACTAGTTTATTGCAACATTATTGCTGAGTTAATAGGAGCTGTAGTCTATGATGGCTGATTACTACTGGTCAATGATTGGTTTGTTTTGAAATTCGCGCAAAGCTACTCGAGGGTTATCTGCGCTAGCCATCCCTAATTTGGCAGTGAAAGACTAGAGGGAAGACAGCTAGTCATCACCACCCACCGCCAACTCTTGGGCTACTCTTTACAAATAAATAGTGAGATTGACGCACATCATAACGCTCCCACGGCTGAAAGGGCGAGCATGTTGGTTGGGACTGGGATCGAAACCCGCGACCCTCAGATTGCGAGTCAAGCGCCCTAACCACTTGGTCATGCTGGGTCCGCTGGTTATTGAAACGAGATGTTTCAGACGCAATAAATAAAAGACCACAACACGTAGTTTGAGACTAAAAGGCATAGCTTTCACAAAAATTCAGGATTAATGAGGATGTATATTCGTTTGATATCAGTGCTCTTCCCTTTTCTTCAGTTTGTTTTATTTTTGTTAATAAATTTAATAACAAATAATGTTCATTGTGGTAAATGAAATAATAATTTGATCTAAGTAAGTTTTCTTTTCTTCCCAATTTGTTAAAATCCATACGTAATAGAAAAATTTAATATTATTTTCAAAATCTATGTAGTTGAATTATGGAAAATCTGTTACTAAAACTAAAACAATTTTTATGAAGTTTAAGTTCGCAGGCCTGTGTTATCTTAGATCTCAATCAGCAGAACCCCTTGCTTGAAACGCTGTTTAAGTTCGCAGGCGTGTGTAATCTTAGGTCTCAATCAGTAGAACCCCTTGCTTGAAACGCTGTTTAAGTTCGTAGGCCTGTGTTATCTTAGATCTCAATCAGCAGAACCCCTTGCTTGAAACGCTGTTTAAGTTCGCAGGCCTGTGTTATCTTAGATCTCAATCAGCAGAACCCCTTGCTTGAAACGCTGTTTAAGTTCGCAGGCAAAAAATCTTCCGTATATATTTTTCTTTGATGCATGACTTAAGGCAATGATTCTATTGGTGTCCATAACTTCTCACAGAATCATAGAACTAGAGCTGTTGAATGTAACTAAAAATGGTACGAAACGACACGTGAAACGACATTGAAGTTATAAGCCGTTGTGAAAATCTGTTTCTTCATTTTAAACTTTATTGTTCAATATCTGTGTAGTAATCTTTATTTTTATTTTTTAAATAGAGATAAAAATAATGAAGCAAGTCTTAAAAGACAGATGTCGCCGCAGAGAAAATTACCCTCATTCAAGTGCCGAACTACCCTGGCCAATATCATCTATACATATAAAACACAAAAATATGTGTGTCTATCTGTTTGTCTGTTATCTAACTACTCCTAGGTCGCTGGACCAATCTCAACAAAAGTTTGTGGGATGATAGATTGGAACAAGCGGCATGTTAGTGAGGTTCACAACCCTCCTACTTCCCCATTATTTTTGTTATTGGGCATTTATTATATTTGACGTAAATTAATATTAACTACATTCCCAGATGGCGAAACAGCATACACACATTGTGGGGGAAAGGCACACAAACGTCTTATCTATCTCAGAGAGTACGCTAACACTCTCTCTGGAGGAATGCAGTGAAAAAAATGGCTGCCATTATTGCAATAACACATAATATTATCTGAAGTTTCTACTCCAACGGCCATCATAAGGCTGATATGAAGAGTCGTTTTTTGAGTTATACAAACTTCCTACTTTGACTCGTGACATTTCAACTTCCGCTCTTAATACACTTCTGTGGCTAATGACCGTCTATTAATTAATCATGTGAAACACTGTGGAAGGACATTAAAAGCAGGGTGTTGAAAGCGGGTAACTGAAAACACCCCTATCCCCACTACTTTTGCCGCTAGTTATTCTTAAAAAGTCACCCTAACCATCGCACAGTATATATACCATGTTTTAAATATATAAATATTGAGTTCTTAGAGCTTTTACAAGGTAATAATGAATACTGTAATAATACGTTATGTAATGAATAAATTGTGTGACAGTCAGGATTTTCGTGTTATTTATCATAGCATCCACCCATAATTTTTTAAAAGTTCGTAATCCGGACAAAGAACGAGTGCCTCAGCTTGTGTAATATAACAACCATACAATGGGTTGGTATTTAAGGTACTCGACTCGCAATCTGTGAGCCACGGGTTCGAATACCGTCCCCGAACATTCTCGCCCTCTCTGTTAATCCCACCATTCGTTAGCAGAAAAGTGGCCCATGAGTTGGCGGTGAATGATGTTGATTAGCTGCCTTCCCTCTAATCTTTCACTTCAAAATTAGAGACGGCTGGCGCAGCTAGCCCTCGACTAGCTTGAAACGAAATTCAATAAACAAACAACGTTTAAATCATGATAGATATGTTAATACATTGTTTAATTTGTGTAATGCTGACTGGAGTATAGTACACATAAAGAAA